AATATTAACTTCAACTCCTGGAACATCTCATATGCTCCATGACGTTCAAAATGTCTTTGAAGTCCCGATTCTAAGCCGTAAAGCATGGCACACTGAACTATCGAGTAGTCATCAGCTTTGCTCTGCCAGATGTTCATAACGTCCGGAGTTGCTCTTGCAGCGGGTCTTGCACCTAGAGGTGCTTCCAGGACGTAATTCTTCTGTGCAGCAATGAGGATAATCCTCAAGTTACGGACCCAGTCCGTGTAGTTGCTACCATCATCTTTCAACTTAGCTTTCTCTAGGAACGCATTAAAAATCGAGGGAACGGTAGCACGGGCCATTGATCTATAACAACACGTACTAAATTCATGATAAATTAAAGTTAAATTAATCAGATTACTTAAGAACTCCCACTTAGATAGACATCTCTCTAGTCATCTAAATGATCATGTGATCCATAGCAACTAAACCATGTCCGATCATCACGTGAGATTGAGTAGTTTTCAATGGTGAACATCACTATGTTGATCATATCTACTATATGATTCACGGTTGACCTTTCGGTCTCAGTGTTCCAAGGTCATATCTGCATATGCTAGGCTCGTCAAGTTTAACCTGAGTATTCTGCACGTGCAAAACTGGCTTGCACCCGTTGTATGTGAACATAGAGCTTATCACACCCGATCATCACGTGGTGTTTCGGCATGACGAACTGTTGCAATGGTGCATACTCCGGGAGAACACTTATACCTTGAAATTTAGTGAGGGATCATCTTATAATGCTACCATCGTACTAAGCAAAATAAGATGCATAAAGGATAAACATCACATCAATCAAAATATGTGACATGACATGGCCATCATCATCTTGTGCCTTTGATCTCCATCTCCAAAGCACCGTCATGATCTCCATTGTCACCGGCTTGACACCTTGATCTCCAATCGTAGCGTCGTTGTCGTCTCACCGACTATTGCTTCTACGACTATCGCTATCGCTTAGTGATAAAATAAAGCAATTACATGGCGATTGCATTTCATACAATAAAGCGACAACCATAAGGCTCCTGCCAGTTGCAGTTAACTTTTTATAAAACATGATCATCTCATACAACAATTTATATCTCATCACGTCTTGACCATATCACATCACAACATGCCCTGCAAAAACAAGGTAGACGTCCTCTACTTTGTTGTTGCAAGTTTTACGTGGCTGCTACGGGCTTCTAGCAAGAGCCGTTCTTACTGCGCATCAAAACCACAACGATTTTTCGTCAAGTGTGTTATTTTGACCTTCAACAAGGACCGGCCGTAGTCAAACTCGATTCAACTAAAGTTAGAGAAACAGACACCCGCTAGCCACCTGTGTGCGAAGCAGGTCAGCAGAACCAGTCTCATGAACGCAGTCATGTAATGTCGGTCTGGGCCTCTTCATCCAACAATGCCGCCGAATCAAAGTAAGACGTTGGTGGTAAGCAGTATGGCTATTATCGCCCACAACGCTTTGTGTTCTACCCATGCATATCATCTACGCATAGACCTGGCTCGGATGCCATTATTGGGGAATGTAGCATGCAATTTCAAAAAATTTCCTACGACCACGCAAGATCTATCTAGGAGATGCATAGCAATGAGAGGGGAGAGTGCATCCACGTACCCTCGTTGACCGAAACTGGAAGCGTTAGATTAATGCGGTTGATGTAGTCGAACGTCTTCACGATCCAACCGATCCAAATACCGAACGTACGGCACCTCCATGTTCAGCACACGTTCAGCTTGATGACGTCCCTTAAAATCTTGATTCGGTAGAGGGCCGAAGAGAGTTCTGTCAGCATGACGGTGATGGTGATGTGATCCGCGCACTACAACGCTAAGCACTATGGCGCTATGACCAGAGAAATAAACTATGGAGGGGGGCACCGCACACGGTTAAGAGAAGTCTTGGCGTGCCTTTGGGGTGCCCCTGCCCATGTATATAAAGGAGGGGGGAGAGAGGCCTGCGGCCAAGAGGAGGGGCGTACCATGGGGGGAGTCGTACTTGGCCTCCTAGTCCAAGTAGGATTCGGCCCCCCTTTTCCTTTCTCCACCGGAGGGAATAGGAAGGAGAGGGAGAGGGAGAGGGAAGGGGGGCGCCGCCCCCTCCTCCTTGTCCTATTCGGACTCCCTAGGAGGGGGGCGCGCGACCACCCCCTGCGGCTTCCCTCTCTGTCTCTCGCTTAGGCCCATGTTGGCCCAACACTTCCCCGGGGGGTTCCGGTAACCCCTCGGTACTCCGGTAAAATATCCAAATCACTCGGAACCAATCCGATGTCCGAATATAACCTTCCAATATATGAATCTTTACCTCTCGACCATTTCGAGACTCCTCGTTGTGTCCGTGATCTTATCCGGGACTCTGAACAAACTTCGGTCACCAAAACACATAACTCATAATACAAATCGTCATCGAACGTTAAGCGCGCGGACCCTATGGGTTCGAGAACTATGTAGACATGATCGAGACATGTCTTTGGTCAATAACCAATAGCGGAACCTGGATGCTCATCTTGGTTCCTACATATTCTACGAATATCTTTATCGGTCAAACCGCATAACAATATACGTCATTCCTTTTGTCATCGGTATGTTACTTGCCCGAGATTCGATCGTCGGTATCCTCATACCTAGTTCAATCTCGTTACCGGCAAGTCTCTTTACTCATACTTTAATGCATCATCTCGTAACTAACTCATTAGTTACATTGCTTGCAAGGCTTACAGTGATCTGCATTACCGAGAGGGCCCAGAGATGCCTCTCTGATATGCGGAGTGACAAATCCTAATGTTGATCTATGCCAACTCAACAAACACCTTCATAGACACCTGTAGAGCATCTTTATAATCACCCAGTTACGTTGTGACGTTTGATAGCACACAAGGTGTTCCTCCGGTATTCGGGAGTTGCGTAATCTCATAGTCAGAGGAATATGTATATAAGTCATGAAGAAAGCAACCGCAATAAAAGTAAACGATCATAATGCTAAGCTAATGGATGGGTCTTGTCCATCACATCATTCTCTAATGATGTGATCCCGTTCATCAAATGAAAACACATGTCTATGGTCAAGAAACTTAACCATCTTTGATTAACGAGCTAGTCAAGTAGAGACATACTAGGGACACTCTGTTTGTCTATGTATTCACAAATGTACTAAGTTTCCGGTTAATAAAATTCTAGCATAAATAATAAACATTTATCATGATATAAGGAAATATAAATAACAACTTTATTATTGCCTCTAGGGCATATATTTTTTCAAATATTTCATTTATATGGAAAGCGAAATGCTTGAATAGAGCATGTAATCTTAGTTGTGTTGTTTTAAGCAAAAATGCAACAATAATTTAGATGCATGATACACATGAGCATCATATACACACAAGAGGTCATCCGCACTATCTTATGCAACCTATCCACCTCAGCAAGTCTGCCACATCAACATTTCGTCACCGGCTTACGGATGGGCCCGTCAAGCACAACACCCCTGCCAAATCACTATCCGCTACCGTTTGACCAGCAAATAGAATGGACCTCTCTCTCCTTCAATAGCCCTCTCGCGAGTTGCAACCCATCCCTCCTTTCTACAGAAATATTTCCCATGGCTACAGTAGAGTGCAATGATTGGGATCCATCTCTGCGTGAGGCCACCCCCTCTGGCACCACTGTCTGTCCGACTCCCCTCCATATCACGATTTCCCATCAATGACAGAATCAACAAATTGTGTGGGCCGGAATCTGCAACCATCGATGGCTGCGCGGCGGGGGCACAAGCTGGCAGTGCGGTGAGGTTAGATCTATCAGCCAGAGGATGCTGCAACTGGCCACCAACATGCTACCACGGGCTCCACAAGGAGCTACAACCAGCCACCGAGTGTGCTATGAGGATGGCGCGAGCTACGAATTGTCATCGCCGACGCACATTTTGGGCGATGTTGTGCCCAGCGGCCGGCGATGCTACGACACCCATCACCTGCTTCTGCAAGGTGCGTGGCGAGGATGACAGGGTGCTACGACAATCATGATCAATACCGCGACTGTTGCGGCCACAGGGTCTGCGACGAGAGTCTGCGAACAGCGGCGCATGATGCTATGTTCGACGAGAAGGTGCGGCTCGCTCAAAGTCAATGTTGTGCTCCTCTTGTCTCTGTTTTGGACGAAGCGAGTGAAAAGATGATCATACGGAAGAGATCAAATGGTTTTAATTGGGCCCATTGGACGTCACACGTGCGACCAGCCAGGCGGTCGCCCCGATCGGCCAGTTTTTCTGGACGATTCTCCTAAAATCGCCCCCTTCATAGATTCTTTCAGAATTGTCACTTCATTTTTTTTCTTCATAATCCTAACTAATTAGATCTTAACTAGATA